AAAAGATAAAGGAGCAAGATTGTAAGAGAAAAAAGGTTGAAATGAAGCAAACCGAAATCTCGAGGACTAAAGTACAAATACTAAAAAGTTAAGTCAAAACTCACAATGGAGATATGAGAGTGCTAGGATTCAATTCGATGAGGAAAGAAGTTAAAGGGAGAAGAATAGTCAAAGTATTATCACACATCCACTTTCAGTCGAAAAAGTTATGCTTAAGATTTTTAGTCTCATATTGAAACTCAATTTTGGCATAGTAAACTTTCCTATTGGAAAATTAATACTTCCAAAAAATTGTAGCCCTCCTAGTTAACTATTTGACGCACTTTAAACCACTTTAATCGAATATCGGGAAAGAAAGTTATGATAAAAATACTGAAAGCTGCTCGACTGTTGAAAATTTAGGCGAGGCTTGCGCTCTCACCTTTAGGAGAGGCACGCATCCCAATCAAAAATGGGGTTCCTGATGCGTCCCAAACCAACCAAGCGCGTACCCTAGGTATTCCTAGGCTTGTGTCTCAGTACAAAAATGAAAAGAATCCGATGTTCCTTATTTCCTTATTTTCATTTTAGTAACAATTCAATGCAATCGTTTTGGCATTCTTTAAATACCATACTCGACCACAGCCTGAAAAACTTCTGTTAGACTTAAATTTCATCATATTCTACATATTTTGGAGTCAAAAAACGAGTCTATAAATCAATTCAAGGTGAATCATATAGGGATTTAGAAAATCATAGCTCGGTTTCAAAATTTGAGCCAAAAATATTGATTTCTCTCACTTCTTCCATCTTACTTATTTTCGAGTGATATTTTCCAATTATTTTTGTGTAATTTAATTATTTGAATATTAAGCTAAATTTTTCATTGTATTGGATGTTTGTTTAATTTAATTCAAGAAAATTAGTTTAGTATTTCGTGATTTTTCTTGATTAGTGTTGCATCCCATTGAACCATTTGATCACTTGATCACCAATAAGATAGTAAGTTGCTTGTTGTATTGTAAGAAGACTCACAATAAGTCCAGAATGTGGCAAAATCAATACAAGGGCTATAGCTATTAAGAATAATATTTATGTCATGTGCGATCATCTGTGATAAATCATGTGAATCAATGCATATTTTTCAAATGAATTCAGATTAATAATAGGATCGGGTCGTATTAAATATAAGTTTAATATAAAAGTGGATTATGGATTGTCTTGAATTTATAAATTTACTAGATTACGAGTTAAGAATTGAAATAAATGGCAATAGAGGGATTCACGATTTCAATACAAACATTCATATATTATAAAAACTTTTTTTGCTTTGTTAGTTTAGAATTAGTATAAAAACATACAAAACGTCTCTTTTGATATCACAACACTTCGAATCTAATAGTAGTTATTGAACTATAAATTAGACCTTCTTTCTCGTGGGAAAGATACTTTTAACTCACAAATCTTATTATTTACATAACGATTCTGTACGCTTGCGAGTTTTGTCTGATCAACATATTTAACATTTGAAATGAAAACCATGGTAAACATGACCATTATTTTCGTACCATTTCTCTTCAATTTTGATTACTAGGATATTGCGTCTCGTGTGGTAAGAATAACCGGTTGAGTGTATGAGGAAATTGTGACACATAAATGACCACTCACACAAAATATGCTAGTGAAAATTTATTTGTACCGTAAAAGTAAGAATGCACCTTGCACAATATCTTTTTAAGCACGTTTAATTTTTTCTGCGGTTGTAATATTCAAAAAATTCAAGGACCACAAAGGAAAATTTGATGAATCTTTGATTAGCAATGTACAAGGCTTGTTGTAAGCTAGTATGGGGCTGCACATTGATAGGAAATTCTAGAAGTATTGAAGTTATCTACCATTCAGCTGGATTCCCTAATCCTCCATGGAATTCCTGATAAAAACTTGAGGGAGCTCTGTAGATACTAGATACCAATTCGTAGAACAGTGATGAGGCAGAAAGCAAGAAGATTCATGAACTTCAACTTATTGCAAATGACACATCTCCGTTTGGCAAAAAAATTTGAGAAGTCAAAAGTGTTTTTTATTTTTTATTTTTTTTTTGTACATGTTTTGAATTATTTTGTCTAACTAGATTATATTTTAGAGGTAACGTCATTGAGAAATTCTTCTAATAGCAATTGAAGCCTGCTTAACTGACCCAATTACAAGGCTAGCTAGCGTGTTCAGTAAAATGTTAATTTTTCTCTTAATTTCAACTAATGTGAAGCATAGGAAAGGTAAATTATTTCGGTGCATCTCTTTATCGTTTTTATCTTAATATCTGATATCATACTTATTTATTTATCCTTTTCTTTCTTTTTTTTCTTTTTTTTTTTTTTGTTAAATGTTGACCTATTAGATATGTGCAGATGAGATTTTAGTGTCATAGAGATCGGCTACCACCATTCATTCAACATTACTCGGAAGCTCCAATAAATGTTTGTGTTGAAATTGAGGAACAGCAGGGAAAGTAGAGAAATCACACCAAAATAGAAAAGGTTTAGGTGGGCTCGAATTAATTTCTTTTCCTATTTTTATCACATTGATCGTTCGTTCCTATTTTGATCGTGTTGATCATTTTGTTCATGGTTCAAATTTTGTTCAGTTGCACTAATATGAAAGAGTAAGTATCTTTAGATTGTTTGAATGAGAAATCGATAATCTAGAAACAACAATCTTAATACGAATTTACATTGACTTTTCTGGTTTTTTTTTTTTCTCCTCCTTACCATGTATCTAATGATTTTGTATTAGAAACGGCAAAGGAATTTTTCATTTTTTGCATGATTATATTCTGTTGAATTTATCTAGGTGAAATTTGATTTTTCATGTAGAATTTGCAAGAAAGTAAAATATACTAATCTAGTTGTCCATTGTCAGATTGCATCAATGAATTAACTTCAGAAAATTCATTTTCACATATTGCATATATTATTAAAATATATGATTATATTAAAATTATTTGGGCATTATATATTTTGTTTACATGCGATTTCGGACATAAAAATTCATGAACTCTTATAAAACAGTATGTGGTAGGAGTGTCAATTTGGCTCATCGGTTAGAGCAGCATGTGGTTTGGCCCTAAAAAAGCTCAAGGCAACGTGACTTGTGGCTTGGTTCAAGCCAGGTCGAGCCACATGGGCCGGCCCGTAATGAGCCGAACCTGAAAAATAAATAAGAAAAAATTACGAAACCTTCAAAAAAAAAAAAGAAAAAGAAACAAAAAGAAAAAATTTAGCTGCCAGCTGTACAAAGCATGTGGCTACAACACACGCTGCCTTAAAAGGCAGCTTTTATGGAAAAAGCCAAACGTCTAGGGTGGGGGACAGGGTAAAAACAGGGTGCCCACGTGGCACCCCTACCCTTCAAAAGGCGGACGCCCTATTTTTAAGCCTGTCCCCCACCCTGGACAGGAAGCAGAACTAAGCTTTTATAACTGCCTTTGCCTTAACAAGGTAGCCAGTTAAGGCAGCTAGATAACTAAAAAAAGAACGAGCTGGCTCGAGCCGAAAGCTCGGGTTGAGTCTAGATTTTTTGGTCAAGTAAAAGCTTGGCTCGACTCGAGATCATCCCTAGAATGTGGTCTTATTCATGTCTCTTTCGTGGTTTCCTTTATTTGATGTCCATTGACAGATTGCAATTGTTAGTTGCATGGCTTCTTGTTAAAAAATATCGACCGTGTATGAAATGATAGATTTCATCATAAAATTCAATTTGTGTCAATTGATCATTGATGTGCAGAAGAGGGAAAAATACATATATGCATTATATAAGGAAATTGTTGAATTTCTAATTATTTTTATTTCTTGTATGAATCGATGTCAATATTTTATTAGGGACTCAGGGAACTAGAATTTCATTATTGTCCTATTATATATTCATGTTCACGAACACATACATATACTGAAATTATTTTAATATTGAATTTTGTGCACTGGATAGTTTAAATTACATTTTTAACGTGTCGGTTTCTTATTTTGAGAACTATAACTGATTTCTTCCCGCTCAGAGGATAAAATAATATGGACAACTGTCTATATGAAAGACAACCTCAAAGTAGAAATAATATTATATTATCAAGTTATTAACTATTGTATAAGATTAAGTGTTCAAACACTATGACGTTGCAAATAATTTTCCCTACAAAATGGTGAATGCGTAAAGAGTTGATGAATATTAAATTGGTTTGACATAGGAATTTTGGGGGCCAAACATTTCATTCTCAACATAAGTTTAGATCTATCCAGGACTTTTTGTGGATAGCATTGTACCTCAAGAACCACGGTGCTAAATTAAGTTTCCCACTATATAAATAATTACATCATTTAGCCACAGTAGTATGATTATTACAGGATATACGATTTGATCGAAAGGAAAAATTTAAAGTATTAAATTCCTTGATTATTCAACTTCCTACTAGAAAAAACTAAAGCAACAAGTACTTAAAATAATTGAAAATATGCATATAATAATTTCGAATGAAAAGCCATGGCAGTCCTTATTTTCCAAATATTACAACCATTACTCGATTGATTATGGTATTGCCACTAGTTGAACCAATAACAAAGTTATGGTACCTTTTAATTTGTCAGCTGAATGAGTGTACGCATCTAAATCTTTGTACATAGTATGGGAGACACGTGCAAGATTGACAATAACTTGCTTGAGGAAAGCCATTGGCACAGCAGTTGGACGAAGACATTCTTGGTTTATGACTTTCCATGCATTCGTAACTTGTTTTTGAATTTCTGCGAAAGCTTCCTCTTTTGACGCACCATTATGTTGATTCATATAACATCCAACTGCTGATATTTTCTGCTCAAACTGCAAAAAAATACAAGCAAAAACAACAAATTAGGCCACTGTTAAATCGATTATTGTTCGAAGACAAAAATATGAACTTCTTACCCCAAATCCTACCAAGTCGTTCATTAGTCTACCAATTTCTTCTAAACCTTGTAGGATTAGCGGCTCACTTACTACCCACTCAAAGGCTTCCTTGCTTACAAACTCTCCAATGGCTGTCAAAGAAGATGAAATAAACACTAAATAAGTGCTAGATGGCTTTCCCACTTTCATATATTCTTCCAGGGTCGGAATATAGTCACTGTACTCCCGCTTTGCCTCTTGGAAATATGCTCTCACCAGTCTTTTCTTCTGAAAATTGTGACATTGATTGAGGAATATATACATTTGATACATATATAACAGACACAAAGAGTTTATCTAGTAATAAATCAATTACCTCTTCTATCACGTAGTGAACAAGGGGTGATTTCCCTGTCTTGTCCAACTCTTCCTCAATCTCGACATAAACATCTAAAAGAGCTTTGTAATAATATTTCATGTATGGTGGCAACTGATCAACGAGACTAAGATCCCATCTGCTCAAGAAGATATCCAATATCAAATAAAAGTTAAGGTGAACCTTTATTTTGTGTAATAAATTAGTAAGTATGATAATAAAAAAAATGCAATGAAATAATTTACCTTTCAATTGCATCCAAGAGAAGAGTAAGTTCGTCTAGAGTCCCATATATGTCATAGATGTCATCAATGACAGAAATCATGGCGATTACTTTGGCTAGCATTTTCCTACCATGAGAATATTGGGGCTCATAGTATACTCCCAATGCCCAAGAGTAGCATTCGACCAATCTATCTCTTGCAAAAGGTAATTTATTTTCAAACACCAACGCCTTCCACCACCTATGTAAAGTTTATTTTCAGAAATAAAATTTCAAAAATTTTACTAGCATTTTTATTCAATATTAAATTGACACGACCTGTTGTTTGACATTAGTTAAAACTAAGAGAAAATGGTATACTTGACCTGACTGATAATGTCTCGAGAAAACAAAGCTAACCTTGTAATCTCATATAGCTCCTTCTGATACATCTTTTGCAATAGGTTGAAATCTAATTTTGCGAAATCCAGGAGCTTATCGTTATGTGTTTCATCTTCTTGATAGATAGATAAAAACTTTCTCGCCCCCAGCCTCGTCATAGTCTTATGAATTGGAAATTCCAAAGCTTCCCTAACTTGTGCAGACACAGAATTACTCACATGGAAGACTACGGAATCAAGTTGAGTGACAGTATACTTCAATGCTTCCTCGAGAGTTTCCTCACCACATACTCTGAACTGTGCAGCCTCATACAAACTTAACAAGCCTTGTAAATTGCTAATCAAAGATTCATCAAATTTTCCTTGGCGGTCCTTGAATTTGTTGAATACATCTGCTTCAACCCAAAATACATCAAATGTATCCTTATAAAGATGTAGGAGGTGCATGCTAACTTTTTTGTACAAAAAATTTTCACAAGACATTTTTTGTATGTTTATGGCATGTAACAATTTAGGTGCAGGCTTAAGTGTTTTGATTTTTACTTACCACACGAGACGTAATGTCCTTGTTGTCTGAGTAACCGAAATCGAAGAGCAGTGATATGAAGATTGCTTTCTTGTTTGCCACAACTTTCATGGTAAGTGTCATATATATATCTAAGAGATTTTTGAATTTCGGTTTCAAAATAATGACCAACTCCAAGACGTTGGATTGCATCAATGATGTCTAGTTTATGCAAAGAATCATCTGGCACAGCCTCTAGCAGCTTCTTCACTTCTTCTTTTAGTCTTCGATGTTCTTTCTCTTCGTTGGTCAACACATCCTGCTTAATTAGAACCCTCTAATGCATTAATGCGATAATCTTGCAATATGAATAGACATACTGTAGCATTTAAAAAAAAAAAAAAAGGTACTAAACGGAATGGGAAAAGTGTAATTGTACCGTGAGATGAGAATTATATGCAAGGAAATAGTCACCCCAAACTGAAGGATGAAATTTGACCGAGCGCCGAGCATCCTCAATACCTGCATTTTTGGTGGAAATCAAGGGAGCAGCCGATGCAGGAATTTGGGTATTCATTCTATCTTTTACTTTTAGAATTTGGACTGGGAATGGATTGCTTTCTAGGAGTTATAATTTTATGAGCTTTTAACATCCTATTTATAGTTCCCATGCACCGCCATAAATGAGCAACCTTTTTAAGCCGAACTGTTCGGTTCCTATTTGTTTCACAGAATTTTTTTTTTTTTTTTTTTTTTTTTTTGGATGATGGAGGAACCTGTAGTTGCTATCCTTCGGGTGCACACTGGGTAAACCCTCGAGCTGATACAATACCTTGCAAACCACGCCAGCCAGGTAAATCGCAATAGACAAGCCCGGTTTGACAGGCTCGACCGAGAAAGTGTTGGTAGGAAGAATTGAACTCGTGACCAAAGGCCTCTACGCTCACCTACTCCACCAACTCAACCATCCCAAGAGGGGCTTGTTTCACAGTTTGATCTTATTTAACTAAGTCTAATTAAATACATTAAATCTCTAAGAATTTAGGTAATGATCGCAATAACCGTAAAAGATATCTCTATACTTTTATCCAAATTATCAAATTTTATTATATGATAAAAAATCTATAGTTTACCTTTCGATTTATTATAAATACATATATCAATGAATTATTGGCCAAGCAATTCAAAGTATTAAATTCCATAAATGAAACCAACACATATATATTTAACTACTAGAATCTTAAAAATTAAATAAAAGTGTCATACATAGTTCACATTGTTTGTCTTAACTAATGATCTAACCACTCATACTAATGAAAGAAAAAAATTAAAAAATATATATATAGAGTGAGTTCATAATCAAGTTTTAAATGTTAGGAAAACCGTGATTGGCCAAGCAATTCAAATTATTAAATTCCATAAATAAAACCAACACATATATATTTAACTACTAGAATCTTAAAAATTAAATAAAAGTTTCATACATAGTTCACATTGTTTGTCTTAACTAATGATCTAACCACTCATACTAATGAAAGAAAAAAATTAAAAAATATATATATAGAGTTCATAATCAAGTTTTGAATGTTAGGAAAACCACGATTTTCCTAATTTAGAATTGGCAATTTATTAAAAACAATTATATTTGTTATTTAATTTAATATAATGGGTTGAAATTAAGTGGTCTAATTTCGTATGCCCATAGACTACTCAAATTGGTATGGGATAATTGAGTAGATACCGGGATATATTGCTCTAATTGGGGGATAATGGGAACCCTAATTAAGCAATATATAAAGATTATTTTGGTTATGGTCCCCAATATACCAAATCACATAACAATTTCCTTTCTCCCATCAAGAAGAGAAACGACTATCCCATTGAGGAATAAGGCGATTTGATTGAGGAAGATCACAAACCACCTCCCTTGTTCGTGTTCATCAGTACATGATCGATTGTCGCAGTAATTTCGCAACAGTAGGCAATTGTTCATAATGGATACAGGTATATAATTTGAATCCGCAGTAGGCAATCGTTTACAATGGATACAGGTATATTATCTGAATCTGTGAATCCTAATAATTTAGCATGATGTTGATCCTAGGATTTAATTTATATTTGGATCTAATTTGATTTTCTAACAAGTGATATCAGAGCGGTCATCATTTGCTAGATTATTAGGATTTGTGCATGTTCTATTCGTATGATATTTGGCTTATTTTTCTCGAATAGAATGTTTGAATTTTGTGAAATTCCTTAAACTGTTAAGTTTAAGAATATTCTTGATGCATTCGGCAAAATCGGATCTCGAAATTTTTGCCATAGTTAGTATTGATTCTAAATTCTGTCCGTGTCAATTAAAACGATAATTTTTTCAACCAGTTTTTTTTTTTTTTTTTTTGTGATGTTATCTTTCTCAATTGAAAGCCTTAATATGGTTCTCTTTGGATCATTTTCAACGTGACTACAGCATTGAATAATATATGACAAAATAGGCATCCTCTCAAAGTATTAAGCACATTTTTTTAGCATATTGATTACTGTCAAAATCAATGGCCTTTCATTATGAATCTAGATTGGGTCAATTTCAATTGCATAATGGGTCCAGCCGCAATTTTTGACCCTTATTTTTCATAATGATGGATTCAGTATTGAATAGTATAGAAAGTGTGCAATAGTATTTTGCATGGGAGCATATTAATGTCTAGATTAGTAATATCCGCCACCTTTTATACGGATCCACAATTTCAATTGCATAAAGATTCAGCCGCAATTATTTACCTCTATTTTTTATTTCATAATGGACCTAGAACTTGTGCTGTAAAAAAAACAAAAAAAAAAATTGAGATTTAGTTGATGAACCCACTCAAGTTTCTGAATTCAGTTATTTATTTATTATTATTTTATTTTTTTGGATATAAAATAAATTCCAACTTTGGTTTTGATTGTTACTTTGAATGTCTAGTATATTCAATTGAAATGATTAAAGCAACATATTGCCAAAGTAACCCTTGTTTTGTAAATTAATTTAATTGAAAATGCATAGATGTTTTGTGCGAAGTCATTTATGCGAGCTGTGCTCGGCCCAAAGGAAGACACAGTTTAGCCAAACAACAAGCGCCTATGATGATAAATGTGTGATAATTATAAAGACTTTTCATGTGAACAATAATCGATCCAAAGAAATGCTATTGTTTGACAAAACTAATTGTCAATATTTGATCATTGTACTGAGAGTACCACTTACAGTTAATTTCTCTATCCAAAGACTAGGAATTAATGTTGTACTAGGTATCTTGAGATAGATCCCCAAATCTGGATTATTTGTGCATGTCTTATTTTTCTTATTTGACGTGCTTGTTTATTTTGTTCTTTATACAGTTTCTATTGCTAATGCTGCGAACGTTTCTACTCAGGTCAGCAAGATACCAATGTTGAGTGGGACGAACTTTAAGGTTTGGAAAGAAGCCGTGGAGATTGTCCTTGGATGTATGGATTTGGATCTTGCACTTCGTTCGGATTGACCCACTTCTACTCCGGAAAACCCCAATGAGGGTAAAATTGAAAGGTAGGATCGCTCTAGAATGTGCTTGATGATCATGAAACGTTCCATTTCGAAAGCGTTT